AATTTAAATTTTTAAAAAAGTGTAAGGAAAAATATACAATGGGAACTGAAAGTTTATTAAAAAGTTAATTATAAAAGTAAATTATAAAAAGTTCTCCAGAGTACCAGAGTTTATCTTTCTCCATCACTGGCTGAGCGTAGACAGTCTGTCTCCTGAAAGAACGATAACAATCTGGATTCTCTCAGTATAGGACATGCTCCGAGTGGGTGGTTATTTAAGAGATTATATTAGGTTGTCAATGTTTTATTTCCAAAAAATAAAGAACAGAATGCAAAATCAGTTTAATTTCAAGCCATTAATGCGTTTTGCAAATGGAGGTTTAGCATTCAGAAGTTGGAAGATACATTTCTATAATTTCTTTCTAATTTCTATGATATATTTACTCTTACAGTGTTGTGAATGTGCTGATTTTAATGGAGGTAACTGAAGATCTGAGGCACTAGTTAGCGATGCATTTGACTGCACATAAAGATGAAACTGGCAGAGTGGGAAATTCCCCCAAAAAAAGAAAAGAAAATGGCAAGTTATTACATGCATCTTGCAGTAAGAATGTTCTGTTATCTTAAGACGCATTCAGACTAAGGACGTTAGCCTGTGGTCAATTATATATATTGTACATCCCATCAATCATTGTGATATCACAGCGAATTTGATAGATTTTCAGGAAAACTTAAATATGTTACACTAATGTACAAAGGAAAATCTAAATTCTCTCTTTAATTATTCTTGTTCAGATATTTTGGACTCTATAGCTCTTCTTAAATACAAATCCCCAAAATTTTAATCAGAGTCATGGTTGGATGACTCCACTCATTGGCTTAGACAGATTTGTCAAAAAGCAAAGAGGAGCTGGAAAAAAGATCATCTTTACTGCTTCATTCGAAATCTTTAGAAACTGCCTGGTGAATTTTCAGAAAGCAGATAAAAAAGCAAGAGCTAAATACTTCTCTGATATTATCAGTAAATATACTCATACCCCTGAAATTTTGTTCAGCACTATAAATTCAATAATGAATCCTCGCATCTTGTATGAAGTAGAACCAACTGTTGATATTTGTGAGAGATTTTATTGAAAAGATGGCATTCAATGATCCCTTATTCCTTCTTACTCTAATACTCTGCTTGACTGTTCAGTTAATACAGCTACAGTTTGAACAGCTTTCAGGCAGTGTCTTTCTCTGATCTCTACAACTTCGCGCCACAATGTTGTTCTTCTGACATTATTAAAGGTTCTTTTGATACAATTGGTTCTAGCATTCAAGCAATTATTAATTACTGCCTAGTCTCTAGCACTGTCCCTACGTTTTTAAAGCATGCAGTTGTCCAGCTGTTGCTTAAAAAGCCCAATGCTGATGTAAAGTGTCTGAATAATTATCGTCCTATTTCAAAATGACCATTTCTCTCAAAAGTTATGGAAAAAGTTGTCCTATCACAGTTGCTTCCTTTTTTAAATTCGACTCAGGAATTTCAACCAGGTTTTACAACTCATCACAGCACTGAAAAGGCTTGGTTAAAAGTGATGAATGATTTGTTACTTGCGGATGATTCTGGTGAAAATGCAGTTTTGATTTGACTGGATCTGAGTGCCGCTTTTGACACGGTAGATCACAATATCCTTTTGTCACGTCTTGAACATTGGGTAAGCATTAAGGATACAGCACTACTGTGGTTTGAGTCAAATCTTAAATCCAGGACATTGCAGGACATTTCAGTGGCAATTGACCAGTTTTTCTCATCATCTGTTTCTCTCTCCTGTGGGGTTCATCAAGGGGCCATTTTGGGGCCATTACTCTCTGTACATGCTTCAACTTGGTAATATAATTAAGAAATATTACATTTCATTTCTATGCTGATGATCCTCAGCTGTACGTTTTTATTAAAATCTAGACATTCTCTGCAGCCTCTCATGGACTGTCTTTAATATCTTAAATGCTGGATGGAAAATAATTTCCTCCAGTTTAACAATTAAAAAATTGAGGGGATTATCTTTGGTCCCTCCAAAACTAGAATCTGTAGTCACATGCAAAAAAAAATCAGGTGTTATTTTTTTACTCTGAGCATTGTCTTGAAAAGCAAATTAGCTCAGTTGTTAAAAACGGCTACTATCAATTGAGAATAATTTTCTGATTTAAATCGACACTTTCCTTTCAAGACTTGGAAAAAAATTATTCATGCATTTATCATATCACGGCTGGACTATTGTAATTCTTTATATTTTGATCTTCCCCAGTCTTCATGAATGCAGCAGCCAGACTGTTAACTAGTGCAAAAACTTGTGATCATATCACTCCAATTTCAGCTTCCCTTCACTGGCTTCCTGTCTTTTTTATTTGTCTGGCTTGCTTAGTTGGGGACACTTCATTTCCAGCGATACCGTTGACTTGATTGCAAAGATACTATTTAAACTGAGCTGGATGTTGACATCACTGAATTCAATGATGAACTGTCTTTAACTGAAAAATTTGTGTTTACTATTGTCATTTTGCATTATTGACACTATTTTCCTAATTAATGCTGTTCAGTTGCTTTGACACAATCTGTATTGTTAAAAGCGCTATATAAATAAAGGTGACTTGACTTGACTTGACTTTTTTAGAATTCAATTCAAACTTTTGCTGATTGTTTTTACAGCTCTTAATGGACAAGCCCCATCTTACATCAGCTCCTAAGTCCCTCAGATCTGCCAATAAAGCTCTTTTATATGTACCATGGTCACAACTTAAATTGAAAGGTGACAGAGTCTTTGCAGTTGCTGCTCCACGGTTATGGAATCAGTTGCCACCTGACATTAAGAGTGACATTAAGAGACATTAAGAGCACATTAAGAGTGCTCCTTCTATTTCTGTATTTAAATCTAGACTTAAGACACATTTTTACTCTGTAGCCTTTCCCAATTATTAATGTATGGGTTAGTAACTGGTATCTTTTTACTCAATTTTATTTTATATTTTACTGTATTTTATGACTGTTCTGTACAGCACATTGATTAGTGTAAGCTGAATTTAAATGTGCTCATTAAATTAAATTTACTTAAAGAGCAGATTTCATGAAGACACGTTTTTAGTAGATCAAACCTGTTGATAATGTTCAAAAAAGCTGATAAAATAACATGAACAATTTCCCAAAAACATATTGATTGATTGATTGATTGATTGATTGATTGATTGATTGATACAATGTCTCTGAGCTCAAGATTCATCCAGTGACAATATGCAGAACATGTATGTGACACTGGATATATATTAATTTTTTGAAATTGAGATTTCTACATTATCTGAAAGCAGAATAAATAAGTTTTCCATTGATGTATGGTTTGTTAGGATAGGACAATATTTGACCGAGATACAACTATTTGAAAATCTGGAATCTGAGGGTGCAAAAAAATCAAAATACTGAGAAAATCGCCTTTAAAGTTGTCCAAATTAAGTCCTTAGCAATGCATATTACTAATCAAAAATTAAGTCTTGATATATTTACAGTAGGACATTTACTTAATATCTTCATGGAACATGATCTTTACTTAATATCCTAATGATTTTTGGCATAAAATAAATATCTATAATTTTGACCCATACAATGTATTTTTGGCTATTGCTACAAATATACCCCAGCGACTTAAGACTGGTTTTGTGCTCCAGGGTCACATATTAGACATTGCAGCTATTATATGCAACACTTTACAATACGTTTCCATTTGTTAACATCTGTTAACTATGACTTATATATAATAATAATAATAATAATAATGCATGAACTAACAATTATATTAAAATATTTCTAAAACATTTATTAACCTTAGTTTATGTCAATATGAAAATTGACCAATACATTATTAAAACAAAAGTTGTATCTGTTCATATTATTTAATGGACACAAGCTAACATGAAATAACAATGAAATATTATCAACAAACATGAATAAATACTGAAACAAATGTATTGCTTATTGTTAGTCAATTTTAGTTATTGCATTAACTAAAGTTAACTAATGAGACCTTACCGTAAAGTGTTACCAGAATTATGATAATTCCTGCTAATTTTAAGTCATGCAAACCGAATTCACACTACTGTAATCCACAAGACTTTCATTTTCAGCCTAAATACTGCTATAATTTCATATAATTAATTTCAGTCCATAATCACTATCAGAAAAAATACTAAACATTTAAATTACTTTAAAAACCGGCCTTGCTTTTAGGTTGCCCATAATTATCTATATTAAAGAAAAAATGTAACTTCACATCAACAGATATAAAGTACGGTAATACATATTTTGCATAGCTAGACGTATATGGTATTATGTTGAGAATATCGCCTCATCAAATAAGGTCTTATCAAGGCGGTACCTTTGATGGCGCGCTTCATATATTTGATTGGACGGAGCAGTGGTGGGAAAACAGCGCCGAAGAAGTTTAGTTTACAAACCAGATGCTCTTTGTTTCATGAGACATGCGCAGTCCACAAAATCCTAAATGCATTATAGTTAAATGTGTTTGAACGTTATATGATTTGCTGATATTATTTAGCCTATCCTGGTTATTTTAATCATAGGCCTGCAATTAAAACGGAGCGCATAAACATTTTAAAATATACAAAAAATAAAATAACTATTACGTTAAAGTATACTTTTTATATTTAATCCAATATTTTAAATTAAATTGCACAATCATTCACAAAACTAACAATAAGAATAAAAAGAAATCATATTATTTTTATTTGATAGATGTTGGGCTTTGCGCTGTGTTTTTTAATGCCGGCGACATCAAACAGATGTTTACTGTAACTTTTACCAAGCAGTCAAAATACGTCTGCGACCCTCGCGCGTCTCTTTCATGTTGAATACGCGAACTTTTGACCTCTACTTCAGGATACCGACACGAGGCAGGGCAGGTAGGTGGAGACTAAACCAAATCCGAAGCACACCTGGATACTTTTAACTTTACACCTGTGCTGTGCGCTGCAGAGAATCTCGCTTTTATTCATCCAGCTCAAGCCCACCTCATGGATCGCAGAGCGGAGTCTGGAAACCTGCAATCCCGTGATACCGCAGAGGACGGTCCGGGTACCGCGGGGGATGGAGGAGCCGCTCCAGCACCCGAAAAGCCTCCTTATTCGTATGTGGCTCTCATTGCAATGGCCATCAGAGAAAGCGAGGAGAAGAAGCTGACCCTGAATGACATCTACAGCTTCATTATATCCAAGTTTCCATACTACGAGAAGAACAAAAAGGGGTGGCAGAACAGCATCAGACACAATCTGAGCCTCAACGAGTGTTTCGTGAAGATTCCCCGGGAGAATGGCGGGGAGAGGAAGGGGAACTTCTGGACGCTAGACCCTGCGTTTAACGACATGTTTGAAAAGGGTAATTACAGGCGCAGGAGGCGCGTCAAGAGACCTTACCGACCACCACCCTTACCGTCTGGATTTAACTTCACCGACTCGTACTGCCTGCAACAGGAGCCCCTTTACTGGCAAACCCCGTTCGTCAGCACCAGCTCCTGGAGTCACCAGTCCAGCTCTCCGACGCACATCTCCAGCTACCTGCAGCCCATGCTTGGTAACGCGCGCCCTCTGTCTCCAAACGATTACGCCAACTCTCCCGTGAGTTATTACCACGGTCAACACCATCACCTTCTCCCGTCCTACAGACCGTACCACCGGTATCCGAACGCTCTGGTGCCTCTGAGCGGCATGACTCCACCGGTGAGCCCGGGCGGAAGCTCCATCTCCACCTGCAGCTACCCGCCGCAGAACAGCCACCCTGGACATCATCCGTTTGACTGATGGACAGACATGTGAAAACTGAATATAAGTAGGCATACAGTTTCATTTGGATCTAGATTTGCTTTTTTCGTTAACCTTTGGGAATGTTAAATATGCGGTTTCAAGTCAAACTGGCTGGTTGAAATTAGATCGGAATGTTGCATTCGCTGAATTAGTTTGATTACTGTATATATATATATATATACAGTAACAGGTTTACAGTTGTGTTTTGTGGATTCTCAGGAATGAAACATTGTTACATTGCTTATATTGTTTTAGTCAAGAGACGAAGAACTGTTCAAACGCACTTGGTTGTATAGGCAAGTTATTAGTTTCCATAAATTTCAGCAAGTGTTTAAAGAAAGCATCAAGATACATAAGCATATTTATTTTTACCATATGTTGAGATGTGCTGGATTAAGGATCTTAAAATGGATGGACGGGTTGCATAGCAGTTTACCGTTTAAAAATGTGTTTGCTTATTTGGAAACTCTTTGCACAAGTTGTTTACAAGAGTTCTTTACACATGCAAAAGTGTATTTTCTTTAAAAATGTTTTGTATAACCTATTGAATGGACATGTTCGGTGTCTGTATTTCTGGAGTTTGAAAATATTTTTTATATGTAAATGTTCATAATCTTTTCGAATTTTTCTCTGATAAAATTCTGATAGCCTAACTGGTCATGCAAGTCTCAGTTATTTGACAATTTATTTTGTATGTTACTAATTACATTTGGTCAAACTTAATTATAATAAAAAGTATTTTGGTGTATAATTTTAAAAAATACACATTTATTTATAAGCATTACTAACTTTTCATTGAAAAACGCACAAAATGCCACTGAAAATCACTGGTTCTTCAATATCTAATCAATCCAGTGTCTTGTGTAAATGATATGTGCAGTGCAAATAATTAATTATAATGAAAATTCATGATTAATGGTGATTAAAATGATCAAGTGATTAATCCAAAATATGGAGCAAGAGCATGGGAATACGTAATTCGATGAACTCCATAATACACTTTGTAGCTAAATGGCGCCCCCTTATGGCTTTTTGACACATCTGTAACAAGATGTTATAATATTTCATTTTTCATATTAACAGTTTATAGACAGAACATGTTGATTGACCACTGCTTATATAATTAAACATATTTTATGAAATAAAATAATTTACATATGTTGATACGTGGCGACCATCATCTCAACATGTTTCTGTGAATCCATTGATTGGGTTTACAGAAAAAGGCATGACATATTGTAGTAGTTGACATGAGATGTGTCCATTCCATGTGATTATGCAGATCTTAGTCCACTGACCCCGATTTAGGTTAGGCATGTGATGTGAAAAACACTGACTATAGCTTAAACTGGTCATTTCCTGACCGAAAATGCCTTTGAACAGAGAAATATAATATCATAATTTTTTCTTGACATAAAAACCAGCCCATATTCAAACACAAGCTGCTGGTTGAACAAACGAGATCTTTTGTAATGAACGACGGAGTGTCAGAATCCCAAGGATAGACAAGGCTCTGAAACTGTTGCCATGGTGAGGAAAGACTTTACTGTTACTTTAACAGCTAAATTTGAAAGAAGTGTTTGATGCATTATACCTGCAATATGACTATTAGGCCACGGTCTCAGACGCAGGGCTGTATGTCCATCCATAATTTCCCTTAAAGGCATCCGAGGTCTCTTTCTACAGCTAGATTTGATTAGCTCAGGGGCTGTAATGACATTGCATGTGTTTGGTTTTCCCCATCACCTCCAACTTCCCTGCGGTGATCAGTTGTCTGGCAGAGTGGTGCACTTTGGCCTGCAATGACTGGTGGTGAAGGTGGGTGGATGTGGGCACAGGGGTCTTTGGCTTTATTTCAATCTGAGTTTCTGTTCTGCACATACGCTTCCTGTTTTCACAAGCTGTGAGCTTTCAATGGTGCAATGCATTTTAGAAGCTTGTTATCATCTTTTATATGGCTGAAAAGAAGAACTATAAATGTCTGTGCAGATGATTAAACAGCATGTGGCTAATTACATGCAGTTCCAGGACTTGGATTCAATAGTGTTTTCATAAATGGGCCAGAGATTGTACTCTATTTGGATTACAAGACATGTATATATTTTTTTATTTACAAATGCATTGCAAATCTTTATAATTTGAGGGGTTTTGTTAGGGCACCGCTTTTAAGCTTCATTTTATGCGAGTATTTGTTTTCTCAGCAATAAAATAATAGCCTTTACTAGACGTTTCCTTGCTGAAAGCTGACAGCATTAGCCTATTTGACTGAATGACTGGTGCTTTTAAGTGACTTCCCCAAGGACCCATAATCGTTGTCAGTGGCATCCAGAAATAGAGCTTCCTTACTCTCTCACAGGAAAACACGTCTGACCGGTTTTATTTAAAAATGAGGAAATAATAAATTCAGTAATTCAGCGTGTTATGTACAGCATTTACGCATACTGGTATCACGTGATAACTGGTTTCGGATAATACCAGTAAACATGCTCTGGACTACAGTTTCGTGGTGAACTTATTGGTGTTTTTGAACAAATAATGTAATGAGTCCTTTACCGCCAGCAGTGTTGCCAACTAATTTTCAGAGAAAGTTGCTAAAGGAAGGTCGATTTGTTGCTAAAAGTTGCTAAATTACGTTGTGATGTCATTGCTCAATGACGTCATTGCGTAACCACGACGCAAAATTGACATCATCAAACCTCAGCAAAATATATATTTTATATATGTTAATTTAGATTTGTTTTTAAAATAATATGCATGATATAATATTAAAATATAAATAACTGTATTTTTAAATACATTGAATTATTGGAAACGTACACATTTTTAAATGATTACAATTTAAGTTTTTTTTAGTAGCTAGTAAACTCTACACATTCTCAACAATTATGCTTTAAGCAGTGTATTAGTAGTTAGTTAGTATGCTACACTCTAAGAAAAGTCTGTATGCTAAATTTAGCAACAAAATTGCTAAGTTGGCAACACTGAGTCCGCCAGCCTTGAAAGACTGACTATAACATGGGCCAATAGTATTCGAGTACGGGCTTTGACTGCGCATTTCATTGGTTGAACCTACTAAACGAATACGCCCCCTACAGTGAACCAGTCGCCTTTGCTTTTTCAGTCTAAACAAGACTCGGCCCTGAACCAGAGCTCTTATGTGAATGAGGATCTTTTGAGCGACTGAACGAAGATGGTAATTTAAGTCAGTCTCATTCACAACAAGGAGAGAAAGCGGCCGAAGAAGTATGATTGTATAAAACGACCATACGCAGTTCAAGTTAATTGAAACGTGAACGACTCGGGCGTCTTTGGCGAATCGGTTGAGTAAATGATTCAGTGACTGACTCATAACTCTTGTCATCACCCTACAAGCTTAAACTCGATCTTGGTGAACAGATTTAAAAGATTCGAGTCACTGGGATGAATCAGAAGCCACATAATATGAATCATATTTTATTTGTTTTATTATTTGTTGTTAATGTATAGCTCATAATGCATAAATATGATTGGCCAGAATGAAGTAATCACAGAGACGGGTTTCAAACGAATGCAGCATGTCGCACGCATGGAAACAGACCTCAAAAGCAGAGGAAGCCAGACGGTGATGTGCTGAGGAAGAGTTAGGGACCGTTACTATTGTTTCAAACGTTATGAAAAGTGCTAACATTTATTACATATGCATGAAAGTTAAAATAATAACATTTTTATGTAATGGAGAAAATGGCGTCAGTTAATTTAAAGTCGTAAATCATCAAAACATCAAATATCTTTGATGTTATACTGTAACGCTTTCTCCAAACATATTCAGCCCGTTTCTGCCTGAATGAAGGACATGACACGCAGACATTTTTTATTGTCAGTATTATGCCGTGTATGAATGACAACAAGGGAGAAAGAGAGAGAGAGAAAGGAGGAAGTAAGTGAGCGCGAGAAAGAGGAAGAGAGAGAGAGAGAGAGACTACACAACTATGTCGATGATCCCTACGAGTTAGGAACGCGGTGCTCAGCGCGCAGTGCAGACAGCCACTTTAACACCTCCAATCACTAAAGGATTATCAACACTTCTGCTGTCATTTCAGACCATTCAAATACTGGCGTCTTGATCGGCGACCGAAATTCACGCACCAGGAAGTTATCAGTTTTCAATGTCAAAGTAAAGGAGCATCGCTGATTCTAAAGATGGAGAAATGAACCACCGGTGAGGCTTTAAGGTAAGTTGGCGCTGTCACATTGTCATATTTTGTTTCATGTTTCCCATCACAAGAATATGAAAAAAGCAGAGGCTTATTCATGGTGGCTTGCGCAAAAATGTGTTGACACCTGCCTTTTTAAAAATGCATCATAAATAAAGTGATCTTTTTAATCGCTACGACTTTATGTACGCCATATATTTTCGACAGACGCATAGTTTAAAATATAGTATAATATCTGTGAAATTGCTGTGTTGATGAGAGATGATGTGCGCCACGTTTCTCGGATATTGGCCCTCCGGCCGGCTTTGTAACCCTATACAGTCCGACAATTCATCACAGAGCTGCAGTGTGTGCTTCAGACACATGCATAGCATATACGATATTAGATATTGATTAATATGATACAATGTAAAATCTAATGTCAGGAACACCATACTTCTGTTTATGATTAATTGCAATTGAAATCTGCTTTAAATTGATATTTCAGTTGTCATTTTTCATTGATAATGCAAAGTATAACTGTATCGTAGTGTGCATATAAACAAGTTTATGCAATTTAATGACCTGTCTGCCTTTACAAGAGATTAATATTAGTTTATTTTGACTGTATTTAGTATACACCCTAGTATGCACTGCTTTCACTTTCTTTAGCAGGTCACTGGGTTGATACAAACCATTGTACAGTGTTATATTGCATAGAAATATTGTAAAATGTGTAATAAATGTGTGTGTATATATATATATATATATATATATATATATTGTAAGAAAATAAGTATAAATATACTGCATAATAAGACACGT